TGTTCAGGTAAAATCAGTGATTTCGTAGAGTTTTAAAGGGTAAAAAAGCACTCATGACTACTTTTATGAGCTTTCCCAAAACTTACCTTGGCTTTTCCCAAACTTTCAGCTTCTGTTTTTGATGCATGGCCCTGGGAGAGAGAGGCATCACTCCCATGGGAGATGAGTGCCATCCAGATACCTGTGCCTGAGCCCATGTCTCAGTACACTTCATTGTCAGTGGGCAGAGTACAATCCCTCAAAGGGTGATTCCTCTCCTCGTGTAGAAAGTCCTGTCTCCCTGGGAAGGTCAGATGAAGACAGTTAAGTGCCTTTTTCTCTTTGAATCTAGAAGAGTCAAGAGCAATTTGTACGTGCCTCTTGCTCTGTGTCACTACTTAAGCAAGGTGAGATGCATCAGACTTTGGTATGTGGACAGTCCAGTGCTGCATACAAAATAATGTAATCTCTACTGTCATACTTCTACTGAGTATTTCCTGCTGATACAACCAAGTGGTCTGCCTCTGAGCTGCCACAGTACATCAGCTGCTTCTGTAGATAAGATTTCTGCTGTGACCGTTTAAGCCTTTTCAGTGTTTCCAGGATACAGCCCTTCAGAGTCTCTGATCTCACTTTCTCAGATAGCTCTGTTTAACTGAACTGTCATTATATTTGCCACTGCCATAGTTTTTTGCTATTTGTGAAAATTATCATCTTCTTTTCTCCCTTTTTTTTGCTAAAAATATAAAGTAGAGCTACGATAAGAACTGCTCACTCTCCAAAAAGAGAAGTCCATACATCCACATCAGATTGTTCAGTACCTTTACAAGCTGAGCAAGTTATTGCCTTATCAGGTTTATTTAACAAGTCCTGTTTAAACATCCTCTAACAATATTAATTAGCATTAATAATAGTCCCGATGTTTGAATTCTGCACCATTCCTTCTGATACTTTGATATCGGTGACAGGCTGGAGAAGAACAGTCATGAACAGCCAGAGTAATTTAGGTTGGAAGTACCCCTGGAGGTGTCTGGTCCAAGCCCTCAGTCAAAGCATGACCAGCTTAAAACGGCCACTACATCTAAGATAGTATTTTTATATTGGCTGATTTGCTCCAGTCCTATAAATGTGCACTTTATTTGTAATACTAATTTGTTTAGGTTCTGTTTCCAAGCACTGGGGTTAGTTCTGGCTATTGCCAAAACGTTAGTGTCTTCTGCTAAAAGACTTCTTGTGGATACTTTCTCTCCACATACTTGCTTGTAGAAGATGTTGCTTTACATCTCCTTCTCCTTATTAAGCTAAGTAGATTGAGCCTCTTTTATCTCTTGCAGTACATCATGTCACCTGGGGAGGTATTGGGGAATTCCAGGGCCACCTCTGGTAGAGCTCTGAGTACCTCTGCAGATGGAGGTCCTGCAACCTCTTTGGGACCCCGTGCCAGTGTTTGACCACTGTCACAGCAGGGAGTGAAATCCTAATGACTACTTGGAATTTTTCTTCTTGCAGCTTGTATCTTTTGCTTCTTTCACTATGTGCCTCAGAGGAGAGCCTGATGCTGCCTTCTTTATACCCTCTTGTTCTGTAGCTGCAGACAGCAAATGGCCTTTGCCTTCTCTTCTTCAGGCTAAGTAAACCCAGTTTCTTCAGTGTCTCCTTGTATGTCCTCTGCTCCAGCCTATGGCCATCTTGATGGCCTCTGCTTGACTCAGCCCAGTACATCTGTTTCTTTCTTGTGCTGGGCAGTCCCAAAGTAGACACTGCACTTTAGGTGTGGCCTCACAAGAGCCAAAGAGAGGAAGGATCACCTCTCTCCACCTGCTGGCAGCACACTTGCTGACACAGCCCAGTCTGTGGTCAGTCTTCCTAGCCAGGACACACTGCTGTTCAACTTCTCATTTTTCAGGACTTCCCAGATCCTTATCTGTGAAGTTGCTTTTCAGCTATCATCCCTAGCCTGTCCTGGTGCCACAGGAGCAGGACTTGGACTTCTTTTTGCTGAGGCTGCTGTCCACCCCTTTCTCCAGCCTGTGAAGGTCCCTCTCAATAGCAGCCCTGCCCTCCAGCATATCAGCCATGCTCCCTGCCACCTCCCAGTCTAGTATCATCCATGAACTTGCTGAGAGCGTGCTCTTTGCCATCATCAATAAAGGCATTAAACATCAGGGACACCACTAGTAATTCATTCATAAATCTAATTGCTGAGTTAAATTTTCTGCTTCATTCAAAGATTTGAATGTTTCCTCCTAAATCAGGTTGTCCTTTGGGCCTCTGAGCAGCCTGTGACATCCACAGAGGAGATCAGTGACTCAGTCCCAGCATCCCTGTCTTGCTCTTTATGACCCATAAGCTGTGACAATATAACCAGAGTGTCTAAATCCTGATTCATGGCCCACACAGAGCTCTTTACCCAGCGTTATCCTGTGCAGACACAAAAGCATGTTATTAGTCATGTTCCAGACTCTGTAGAAACCAGCTTTAGGAGCTGCTTTGGTGGGGCAACAAGATGGGTTGTTCACCAGCAATACTGGGTCCCTTCCCAGGGATCTCTGCCCATAACCCCCTTCCTTCCTGGTGGAGACTTCATTGGACCCCACCCCAGGTCACCTCCCAGGGCAATTGTTTCTTCTGCCTGCAGAAGCCCTTGGTCTTCAGGGCAAGGTTGCCTTTCTGCACCCAGTTGCTTACCAGGCTTGAGCCTCTACTGGCCTCCATGGTGGGGCTTCCCCAGGGTGCCAGGTGTGTGAGGGGGAAAGTCCTACTCCATCCAGCTGGCATCTAATGCTGCAGGAATATTTGGGATGTAGAAGAAGAGGGAAGAAAGGGAAGAGCTGCCCACCCACCTGCAGAGGTACCTCTCCCATTTCCCACCCCTTCCCATGAAGGGGGCTGTGGGACTGGTCCCACTGACAGAGCTTGCTGAGCCACCGTGGTCTTTCTGTGGCAAGGAGCCTGTCACTTGGAGCCAGAGCCACCTCCTGGCCCCAGCTGCCATGGCACTCACAGGGGACACACAGGCCTCTCCCCTGAGCTCTGCGGAAACAATCCGCAGGAGCAGTGGCCTGAAAACCAGCACTGCACACCAGCCCTGCTGCGTGTGTCACGCTCCGCCAGCTGTGTCCTGGGGACGAGGCCACTTTCCAACCAGTGGCCAATGCCAGGTTAACCATTAACTTGCTGCTGTGAGGCCTGCTGGGGACAGGGCTTTGTTTTCAGGGCACTGAGAAGCTGCTCGCTTTGGCCCTTCTTGTGACACTCTGGTGATGTTTCTTGATGGAATCCTGCCGGGGTCCAAACAGCCTTTCCTGTTTGCAGACAGCCATGCAGCAGAGCCATGGCCCACATGGCCTTCACGGTCTGTAGGCAGCAAGAGGGAGGGAAGCCCAGGAGTGGGATGTGATCATGGTGGTGAGGGAGGGGACAGGCATGTGGCCAAGGCCAGGCGCAACACTGTGCACAAGGCGCTGAGTTTCCTTCTCAGGTGCTCTTTCTGGTGCTCCTTTCAGCTGCCTGAGGTCCGTGAGACTAAGCAAATATGTTGGTGACCACCCCCAGAGTGAGGGACGTCCCTCAGAGAGGGGTCACAGGGTGCCTGGTGTGCGCCACGAGTGCCCATTGTGCGCAGCTGGTGCCTGTTGGCAGCCTGGGCCCCACAGGAAATGAATCACCTTCAGTCAAAGGCTTCGCATCAGGGCGCTGCAGTCTCCCTTACTGGCCCTGTCTCCTCCCCACATCCTGCTCTTCGCTTCTTGGCGCTGTGCAATAGGAAACTCCCGAGTGTTTCCTCTGCAGGGAGCTCCACAGACATGCTGGAGGCCAAGTCCTGCTTCAGCGCAGACAGCCTGAGCAAGGGTGCGGGTCGAAGAGCTGCAGTCACTCCCCTCCCCTCAAGTTTGCAGCAGCGCTCGCACACGCTGGGGACGTGCCTCAGGCCCAGGATGGGGCGATGCTAATGCTGCGTGCCAAAGAGGGACTTCAGATCCTCCCAGCAGCCATTCTGGCCCACTCAGGTCCCCCTCCCTGCTATTGCCTGCCAAGCACAGAGGGGCTGTTTAAAAAAATCCCTGCCACCTCTGAGGTGAGCTGAGAAGAGATCTAGATTTAGTGTGTCAGACCATGCCTGTGTGTTAAAATGACTGCTCATTGTCAGCAGCAGCAAGGAGAGGAGGCATAAGCGTTCATAACTGCTCATCTCCTGGGCGGCCGAGGGCAACGACAGCTTTTGAAACAGGAGGGAGAAACTTGAAACTCTACTGGCACAGTGTCCTTGGGATGTGACTACAACCCAGGTGAAGGATTGTGCTGAGCAGCCTGGGCTGCAGGAGAAATACTGTCAGCAATGGGCAGAACTGGCAGCAGTTCTCACACCCTGTGTCTGCGAGCTGGGTGTGGGGGGGCTTGCCCCTTCCTCAGTGGCCACCAAGTGGCTGGGGGTTGCATTTTCTAGTTTACAGGACTTTTTACGGTTCCTGAATCTCCATCTGTAAAGTGTCTTCAGGAGATGGGTACAGTGCTGAACAGAGAGGTGTCTGCTATGTGTGCATGTCCGTGTACAGGGACCCGCATCCTGCACGTGCATTAACCTCCACAGCCCAAGAGCTTGCATGTGGGCAGCTTGTACTGACTGTTGAGCGCTGGGCTGAGGGGCTGCTGCTTGTGCACAAACAGCCTGTGCAGACCAGCAGAGGAGGACACTTCCTTTCCTCAACTATTGGGAACAGGCTATTTTTGGAAACCCTGTGTAACCAAAGTAGATGGACTGTGGCTCTTTGCAGTTTCATTTCTTCTAGTTTAGCATTCAGAAATTTGTTTAATTAAGAAGTTATTTATATAAACATTTATAGTCTAATTTACACAATGAGGATATTTATATTCTGAACTCTTATATTGATTTTCAGCATTTTTTCTTTCAGGGTGAGATTGCCTCTGTTCAAAGAAACGGTAACCGACCAGGAATACACAAGGTGTTAAATGCCACACTACTCACCCAGACTTTCACCTAAAAGGAATAAAAAATAAACATGGCAGAATTTACAGGTTACAAGGAAACCTCAAATCGGCACCTACGATTCAAATTGCAGAGTCTTAGTCGCCGCCTTGATGAACTAGAGGAAGCAACCAAAAATCTGCAAAAAGCAGAGGATGAGCTGCTTGACCTCCAGGACAAAGTTATCCAGGCAGAAGGCAGCAACTCCAGCATGCTGGCTGATGTTGAAGCCCTGCGGAAAAGAGTGCTGAAGATCGAAGGCAAGGATGAAGAAATTAGGAAGGCTGAAGAGCTTTGCCGGTTAATGAAAGAAAAACTTGAAGAGGAAGAGAGTCTAACCCGAGAGCTGAAGTCAGAAATCGAACACCTTCAGAAGAGAATGGCAGAGCTGGAGAAGCTGGAAGAGGCCTTTGGCAGGAGCAAGAACGACTGTACGCAGCTGTGTCTTAGCCTTAATGAAGAAAAGAACTTGACCAAAAAGATATCTACAGAACTAGAAATACTTAGAGTGAAAGTGAAAGAACTGGAAGCATCTGAGGACAGGCTGGATAAAACTGAGCAGAGCTTAACATGTGAGTTAGAAAAACTGAAATCCTTAGCACTGAGCTTTATCAGTGAAAGAAAACATTTTAATGAAAGAGAAAAGCAGAATGAAAAAATAATCCAGGAGCTAACACAGAAACTAGAACAAAACAATAAACTAAATAGGGCCGATCAAACTAGAAATGCATCCAACTTGCTAGAAAGGTCATCAAATAATCTTCTGGACAGAAATGATTTAAGAATTGAAGATGACTTGACTTCTGCATTGCCCTCTAAGGAGACCAGGAAGAAGGGAAGTGTGGATTACCTGAAACATGTGGAAAATGAAACCAGGAATAAATCAGAAAACCAAAAGAATAAAAATCAGGAAGACAACAAAGTGAAAGATCTCACCCAAGAAATTGAGAAACTTAAAACTCAAATTAAACGTTTTGAATCTTTAGAAGAAGAACTTAAAAAAATGAGAGCCAAAAACAGTGACCTGCAAGACAATTACTTGAGTGAACAGAATAAAAACAAACTCTTAACGGGTCAGCTAGAAGAAATAAAAATGCAAATAAAGAAACAGAAAGATCTGGAGAACGGAGAGGTTGAAAATGAAGATACAAGCTTTTCTAGCAGGGGAAAACATGACAGACCTAAATACAGAGGTGTCACAGCTGATTTGACAGCTGCCAAGCACAAGCCAAGGGAGGTCTCACCGCAGCAGCGCCGGGAAAGAGCAAGGAACAGAGATTTCTCTGTCAGTAATGACAGCTTCAGCCACAGTGGTAAGCAGGTGCCCAGTCCAAGCTTAATGAACAGAAAAGCAGGAAAAGCTTCTGGTGCATCTGCCCTTTCAGACGCTGCTGTGACAGATACAAAAAGACTGGAAGAGAAATCTTTAGTTTCCACTTCTTCTTCTGATCAGAAGGAAGGCTGTGTCACGCAGAATGATGGGAAGAGATCAAAAGAGCAGCCGTCTGTCCTCAGCCGATATCCTCCTGCTGCACAGGAGCAGAAATCTTGGAAAGCACCTTCCAAACCTGTTGGTGACACAGGCATGAGATCGAAGGCTGAAAAGTCATCTCAGGTGCTCCGTGGCAACTGCCAAACCAGTGCTGATGCACGGGATGAAAAGTTAAGCAAAGGAGAATTGGTGGCTGCTTTGGCTGAGAAGCTGAAAACAAGTCAGGCAGAAGTCAGTGACTGCTCGGGGGACACGCTGCTTGCCAGGGGTAATCATACCTCTTCCAACGGCACAGCTTCCACGTACAGGTACCATCTCTACTCCCACATGTCGGCATCGGATTCCACCATCTCTAAAGCAGAAGCAGTGAACACTTTTGCTGCATCACACAGACAGCCCTCAGAGGGCAGGGCTAAAAGAGCAAATATCTGCCAGGAAAAAGAATTCGCAGACACATCACTTGAAAGTGCAAAGCCTTCAACACTAACAAAGCGTTCCCATCGCTCCAGGAGTCAGGAAGACATTCTGCAGATTCTCACAGGTCTTGATAAAGAAGACAAGGAGCAGTCTTCAACTTCAGCAATGGATCATCTAAATGCTGGCTTGAAAATGGACTCCAAGACCATCCAGAGTAACCAGGAAAAGCTTAATTCAGATGAAGAATTGGGAAGAAGCAAAAAAAACACCACTCAGTCAGATTTTGAGACAAGAAAGAAAGTTAGTTCCAAGCAGTTCTCCAATTCCAGGGGAATTTTTAGAGCATCACTTCTTGAAAATGACAAAAACACTGTAAGTGATGAAGACTCCACCAAGTGTATAAAACCATCAGATGCCAGCACTGGAGGATTTAAGTCCAGAAGGTCATTCAGCCCAAGAGAAGCTTTGAGATCAAAAGCTGTCATTAAACCTGCAATTGTTGAAAAGGATATGAAGGCAGTCATGGGAGGGACTGTTTCTGAGGCAGAGTCAGAAAAACAGAAGTCTGTTTTTAAAATGGTAACAAGTAAAATGACAAGCAGCATCACAATCTTCCCTTCTGAGCCAACAGCTACAAGGACCAGTGCAGATACAGCAGCAAAGGAAAGGCATGTTACCACTAGCAACATCAGAGTTGCTCCAAATGAGCCTTCACCAATAACAAATGATCTTCCCACACCCTTTGAGATATCAATTAGTAAAAGTGCACTGAAATTATCTGAGACAGACAGAATTGGAGAGGCAGTGCCAAGAAGTAAAGCAGAAACAGTGGTCTCCAGAAGCAGCATTATGATAAAGACTTCTGAACTCACAGAGAGGAACAGTGAGCCGCCTTCGGAGGCAATCAGCTGGAAGAGCTGCTCTTCAGATACAGCTTCATCTGAAACAAAACATGTCACTGTGAGAAGTTCCTGGAGAACAAGACAAGGCTTACATTCCCTGGAGGACTCTCAAACCAAAGTGGAGAAGAGTGAAGCTTCCAGTACTACAAACATGAGTAGGTCCTCAGTGGATCTCTCAGAAATGGAGGGGAACAGTGCAAGAGCAAACTCCCTGGAGCAGACCTCAGCAAGGAGCAGTGCCACAGCTAATTCCTGGACTGCCCCTGAACTGGGGTCCCGCAGGACCAAAAGTAACTTAAGTGCATCTGAACTGCTAACACGCAGGAGCTATGCAAGTGATCCTACAGCAGCTTCTGCTTGGCACCGGACAATGCTACCTGTAAGTATCCTATGTTAAACACTCTTGTCTTTCAGTTGATGAGGTTCTCCAAATTGCCTGTTAGCTGTAGGGTGCCTGATTTTAAATTCTTACAGCTTATTTCCTGAAGTGCTGCCTTCTCCCAGCTCCTGCTATCTTCAGTGGAGCATCTCATATGTGAATTTAGACTTCTTTAAATGAGATCCATCTGCTTGGGTCTTGTAATGCCATATGCCATATAGTAGCATTTGGTCTCGCCAAGATCAGAGAAGACATAGTCACAGCTTATGTACGACATGGTATGCTTTTCAGAGTGGCTTTGCATGGCGCTGTCAACTTGGAGTAGTAATGATAGGAATGAGCAGAATTTAATAGGGTTGTGCCTCAGGTAGAGCTGTAATGGCAATTGCAGAGCTATGGCTTCTTTTGGTAAGAGCTGCATGGTTTCCTGATGTGAAACCAGAGCCCAGTGCTGGACTCTGGTCTGGAAATGCTTTCCGGGCATCTCCTAAACAGGTGAGTGGTTGCTGGTCACACAGGACTGCTCTCTCCTTGGTCTGTGTCAATATGAACCTGAAACCTGAAAAGAAGCAAGAGCCACAGGGATGGCTGTGCTTTTTTCCTGTTCCTTTGGCTGGTACCAGTGAGGGAGTCCCTCAAAGCAGGGCTGACACATGCAAGACAGTTAGTCTGGTGAGCTATACTTGCCACTGGAGCTGCAGGCTCCAGCATATTTCCAGTGAGCTCACTGGCACCAGGTGCCCCTCCAAGTCCATTAAACCATATGCCAGTTGCTGCTCTAGCTGCTGCCTGTGCTCTTTACGTAGAGCTGCTCTAAGCAGCTGCTGCTGTTGCCAGTCTCCAGGAGCAGCCCAGCTGAATAATCTGACAGAGTTTATGGCAGACAGGACAGATTCATAACCAAATGACTCTGGCATTGAGAAAGACGAGGTGGTGAAGGTGTGAAAAGAGTTTTACATTTGCAAAACTTACCTTCTGGCAAGGAGAAGCACAGAAGAATTTGCACCGTTGAGCAACCTAAATTCCCTGTATTGAAGGGGATGCCTAGGAATGGCATCACCCAGACACTGAGCTTGAAGCAGGTGATAGAAATCATGGTGACAAGGGTAGGTGCAACCTCACTTCTGGCCCATCTGTAGGGTGGGAGATTCCAAGGCCACAGTCGTCTCCCTGGCCAGGGTCACAGGCAGTCTGTACTTCTCTTTCATGAATCCAGGCAGAACTGACATGACTGAGGTTGTCCTTTTGCATAATGGCAGATTATGTGCTGGTGAAATGGGAGATCCAACCCTGGGCCTCCTTTTATCCCAGGAGTTTGATTTCACAGCACCCACAGCCTTGAGTCTCACAACTGAGGAGGTCTCCACTTGCAGCTGGGCTCATGTGTGGTCAGTCATGGAGCCCTAAAGAGTGGCCACTCACACATCTTTCCCATCTTCCCACCCAGGGCTGAGTGTAGCTCTGCAGTACATTCAGTGGGTGGTCTCAAAGTCACTGTCAGATCAAACTCGCCAGCTATGCGGTGTGCCTGCAACAGCAGCTGAAGTGTCCCTGACAGAGTAACCTGACCTTTGTGTAGTCATCCTGGGTATCTCTGATGAATTAGCTGGCTTCCAGCCTTGCCTCGTCTGTCTGCAGTGACAAGCAGTCAGGAAACCGACGGTGTGGTTAGTTCACACCGGGCTGTTGAGTATTGAGTTAGGTATCTCTCTGCATCATAATTTAAAATAAAATAACCCTGATGCCACACAGTCACAAATCTGAATTCTTGGACATAAATTAAGTATATTTTTGACTTGTAAATGAGGAGCATGAAGTTACCCTGAAAGACTGCAGATAATACACAGATAAGAAATTTCATATATTTGGGCAGCTCAAATTATTGCATATGCCCTTGGAAAAAAACCAAAGTATCTGCCTTTGAAGGGTATCTTCAGGCTTATCATATATATCATAGCACAAGCAATCTGTTTCTGCTGGAATTTCTGTTTCAGTTAAAGATGTAGCTGTTTCTCTGGCAGAAGGCTTAGCACTGATCTATGCTAACTTTGCACATTCAGTTTTCTTGTGAAGGCATCACTGTCACCTCTTTCCAGCTCGCTATCCAAAGTCTGAGATTGCTTTAAGAATCCTATTTGGGAAACACAGAGTCTGTACTGGTTTTGCCAAAATACATGCTTCTCTCCTCCACGAAATACTCACAATATCTGACCATTTGCTGCAGCACAGCAGAAAGCTGGAGGCTCTGCCCATGCCCCTTAGCCTGTCCCTCAAGACAGACCCAAACTGAGCACCTGGAAAGAGTTCTTGCAAGGAGATGCCAAGGCACAAGGTGTAATTTCAGCCTTCTGTTTTTGTACCACTGATACAGGCAAATGTCCCTAATGAAGCTACAGGCTCTATCAGCAGTTCTGAGCAATATCTGTGCTACAGAAGCGGCAGTTCTTTTGGAGCACTGCTTTGGGAGACCCAGAAAGCAGTAGGTGCTGATGGATGGATGCTGCAGCCTGGGGACCAGCTCCCTCTAGTGCCTGCAGCCAGCCTTTCTCGGGCTCCCATAAAAGACCTGAGGAGATGCAAGACCTCAGTCATTCTGTTGGGCTTCGTGTTTCAGATACTGAAGTTGGTATTTCTCTGGTGTGGTGATTGAAAATTGTCAATGCCCAAATTAGTCCCCTTTGGACTGGCAAGGCAACAAGCAGGCAGCAATGCAAGATGAATGCACTTGATTTGTTTTTGTTGTGGCTGTGATTAATATGACTGGAGCTGGGCTGTGTGCTGCATAAATTAGGTAAAAAACCTAAAGGTAGACTTTTCTTCAAGTGAAGCTATGCATATCTTCTTATGGTGGACTGGTCTCATGGAAAAGTCTCCCTGACAGTATCTAGGGCTGTGCTGCCTCTCAGCCCTTCTCTCCTCTGTTTAGGGCCTAATAGAAAGTGTATCCATCACCATTTCACCCTTGCTGACTCCACATACATAAGCTTCTACTTAAGCAGCCAGCCATGTCGCATCACTGTGTTTTCATCTTTCCTGGGACCTCAATAACTTTGTCCAAGGGTTCTGTTCGGTTTTGTGTGAATTCTGGGAGTCACAGTCTATTCAGAGCAGCTTCCCAGGCACTTGTCAGTGACCAGCTGATTGTCCTTTGGGGTGCTATTACCTTCTGCAGTGCTACGGAGCATGCTGAGCTCTGCACCAACTCAGCAGTATGGGGAGGTACTGGTCTGCTTTACTGACACATGGCCGGTGGTCAGCCTGATGGCCCTGGCTCAGCTCCTTACCCTACAAAACTCTTTGAGACCAGTGTATCATCTGGGTTTGTTGATTGATAGTCATAAATTCATGGGGCCTGACAGCAGAGACAAAACTGCCACTGTCAGATCCCCAAGGGGATGGAGCACCTATATGCTCATTCAGTGGCCTCATCTCTACAGACAGACAACTACTGTATCAGAAATATAGAGGTGCCCAGCCCTTGCTAAGCTGTTCAGGTCCATCAAGATGACTGCCATTCATTAAATTAAAATTATCAATCAATCAATCACCTCACTTTCATGAGCAGCCTGGCCCACCATGGTTATCTCTGGCCCATGGTTGGTTGGAGGTCCCCGTGGGACCTGTCCCTGTGTTGTGCCTGTTCACCAAGGTACTGCTGCTGCTCACACCTCACTTCTGTTGTAAGGCTTGGATCACAAGGGGAAGGTTTGCTGTTTGCTGGATGTCACCCACAGCGGGGCCAGCTCAGGGCAGATATTTGCCCATCCAGACCCACCAGATGTCACAGCTTCTTTCTGACAGCCCATCAAAGGCTAGTGTCCATCTCAGAGATGCTTTTGTGCCAGGCATGGGGACTGCTGCTTCTCCCTTCCCTGCTCTCCTTTTTGCCACAGGGCAGGGACCAAATTTGTTCCACCACTGCCCACAGTCCCGTCACAGGGATGTGCACTGTGTGTTTCAGCAAACATGATGCCATCCCCAAAGCGAGCAGAGCTGATAAAGCCTTCAGTATTTGCACTTTGCCCAGTAGCCAATTACGTTATTGCAATTGTAAGTGAGTTCGTTCAACTTTGTAATGATTTATTTTGTTTCTGATGTGCCTTACAGGGTGCTGGAACATGTAGATAAGAAGGTTTTTGACAGCCAACAGCAAAAGCACTGCCATCTTCCCCAGGAGCTGGAAGGTGACAGAGACTCCTCACCCCTGCGACTCACAGCAGGGTGCAGCCTCAGTAAAAGACACAGGTGCCCCAACCAGCCCTAAGGCAGACTGTAGGCAACTGAATCCCAGGGTATGATCCCATAAATGTCTCTGCAGACATTCAAGAAAACATTAGTGAGTTTAAAAGTGCAATTTAAATACCCAGAGCAGGAAAACAGTGTAGGACACTGCCACATCACATCCTCATTGCCAAGAAAATGGGAGATTGAGGTTGCTAGCCACGCCCCTCCCCCCCATCCATGGTAGTTAAAACTGACTGCTTCAGTCACTAAACTCTGGGATTTTCTGTTGCCAGTAGTCCCTTGTGGACCCAAGCACTCTGGGCCCAGCAAAGCCATACAGGCTGAGCACAGATTTGTACACAGGTCACTCAGCTGAACAGAAGACTCTGCACTCATAACTTGGATTAAAATTACTGGATGGTTTAAAAAAAAAAAAAACTTTATGAAATAGCACATAAGTGAGGACATGCCAGAGCTGGCCTTATGGCCAATATGAAAGGGACATAAGCCAGCACCTTGCACTGCAAACCCAGGGCCAAAAACCCATTGCTATTCCACATCCCTTCACAGTCGCAAAGTCCTAACCTTCTTTATTTCCCTTTGCACAGGATGAGAGCAAAGATTTTGTGCTCAGTTCCAGAAGAAAACAATATGGCTCTTCGGAGTACCTCTCACAGGTTGACACACCAGGGAAAAGGCCAGTCACTAAGATGGAAATGCAGGACCCTGAATCCAACCCCCATGCACCGCTGGGTCTCCAAGCAGAGGAGCAGGTATGTGAGTTCAAGGACCATCCAGAAAAAAAGAGTTACAAGGCAAGGAGCCAACATCTTAACTGACCTCTCAGTAGCATAACTCGGAGAACTTGTCCAAATGAATGTAAACCTTTTAAGAGAAATCCAGTCTTAAATTAGCACTGCCCAAAGTGGAATGTCTACTGTGTTGCCTTGGTAAATTATTCTGCTTGACTATACCGGTAAAAAAGTACTACTTTATTTTTCTGTTCTAGACTTGTTTTAGCTAGTTTTATGGCTAAAAACATTCGCCAGGGAATAAGAGGCCCTGCATCTAGTCATCCCCTGGCACACATTGGACAATTGGGGGTGGAAAAAACATTGGAGACACAAAATCAGAGTCCCTGACTTTCCTGCTTCAGCTGTGTGTTTGTCTGCTACTACATAACCTGCTGCTCTGCCTCCTAAAACACATCTTTCTGGACACACAAAGAAGTGGAAAGTGGCCCACATTATAGTGACCATGACTTATTACCTGAAATGGGAAAAACCTTGTATTCCAGCCTCTTCACAGGGGGCTCCCTTCAGAGGAGGTAGAGGTCCAGGCACCCCTTAATTCCTAGGTGCACAGCCATGCTTATGTCTCTACAAAAGATTTTCTTTTCCTCCTGGCATTCCCTCTTTGCCTGTGCAGCTGCCCAGAGCAAAATACATCTTTCCATTTGTGGATCACCCACGGCAGGAAGTATCTTAAGACCTCAAAGCTTTCGTCAGTGTATCTTACTGGATTTGCACAGGAGTTGCTGAGTCTTAATGTGAGAGCAGCAAGACTGCAGCAAGGCAGCTGAGAGCCCTACATATTCATACCTCTTGGGGAAGTTGCACAAAATTAAGGGCCCAGAGGGACATGGTCACAGCTGAGCTTTGCAGACTGGCATTTAGAGATAGGTAATGTCTTCAGCAGAGCGCGGCAAACTGACACTGTCCCTGTTGGTAGCTGAGGAAGGAGACTCCACAGTGACACTCTGTGTGGTCACCGAGAGGTATCACCCACAGTGACATTCATCTAGCCAGATGCTGACTCCTGTATCTGAGGCTGTGCTGTGCTTCCTTTGTCTGCACAGACTGGGTCACCAGCAAATAAAAATTCGGGTAAAGTCAGGTCCCCATAGCATACACACCATCATTTGGATCTGCTGTCTTGCCCAGGCTTCTACCAACTGTAACAAGAGCCTGAACACCTTGCATATAGAGATCAGCACATCAGATCAGCTCCATCTCCTCTGTGCTGTCAGGTGTTGTGCATCTCATTTGCCAGGTCCACATCCTGGGTGTGGAAGTAGGTGCTGGGTACACTACAACATAAAAAAAGATAATAGGCCCTGCCTATGTGGGACAGGACTGGGTCATTCTGCTTTGGGATTACTCCACTGTAAGCACTGACAGAGCCTGTATGTTCCAAACTGAGCCTGCCACTGCCCTCCCTGCCCCACCATCGGGCTAGGATCCTAATGGGCTTTGGGATGGCTGCCTAAGGGCAATCACAATACTCTTCCCCAGAGCAAAAATGCTGACAGAGGCAGCTGCAGGTCCTAGCCAGTCTGTGATGCTGTGGGGTTGTTTCTTACAGGGTGCTTCCCGTACCTGCCGGACAACATCTCGGAGATGAGTTGTATTCCCTTCCACTCAATGAACGCACTGCACGGTGGAACAAGAGGCAGGACAGTACCAAGCTCACGGGCGTCACACCTGTTTGTAACCTCTCCAGAGGCTTCAGCTAGCCTGAAACCAGTTTTCTAATGCAGTTTGCAAGGTACAGGAGCTTTATTGGTGAATTCTTTTTCTTCATTGCTGAAGAGGCAGCTGCAGAGACTTTGCTCAGGGGACTCCCACTTCTAATCTCTGTACCTGCAATCTTCAACTCCTCCATAGGATGATAGGTCTCTCTCCATGTGGAAACCATGACTGCATAGCCACTCTGACCGATGGTACCCCTGGATAACAGAGAACTTGTTAATCACTTGCATTTAGACAAGATCCCAGAAGTATCCCTGTGACTACAGTCCACCAGCCCATGACAGCTGTTCTACACAGCTCCACAACTGAAAGCTTGCAGTTCCTAGGGCGAGTTTGCATACTCCTAATACACCCTTGTTGACTTGGGTTGTGGTCACCTCAGTACCTGTGTTCCCAGCACCCGCTGTGTCTAGGCAGGAGGAAACCATTCCCCACTGGTTGCTTTACACATTAAGAGGGAAGGAGAGCAGCAAATGTTTAGAAGCAGTTTCTTCCCTACTGCTGTCTGACTCTGCAACAAGCTTTGCACGACCTACTCATCACCAGCTGAGATCTTGCACCAAGATCTCTGAGCCAAACAAACAGCAGTTTACGCGGCAGTGAAACTTCCTCCTGACTTGGACTGGGGTGCTTTTTTACGTGAAGTTTTATGTCCATCACGCTCTACAGGCAACAACTCTGCTGCTCGTCTCAGCAGTTGAGCTCTAAGGGAAAAAGACACAAGTGCTTTTCCTTGCAGACAAGCAGAATGTCCTTGTTCCTTCCAAAACTAGGGTGGAAACAGCAGGATTGGACCCTAAGCTCCAGTATGGCTACCTAGGCAGCCTTGATCTGATTCCCTCTTCAGGACCACCCCATCCGCCATGTCTAGGACCCAGGTATGGTCAGAGACTGCTTCAAATACAGAGGTACGTTACCCTGTCAGTGCAGATGGCATCACTGTCGGGGAGACACCGCCCCCTCAGCTCCAAGAGGTGCTCAGGCAGCATCTGCCCTGAGCAAACAGATTGCATCTGGCTCACACAGCTCCGCCAGTCCTTCCCTTACATCCCACCACCCAGTTGCAGGGCTGGCCCCCAGTTTTCCTGTCCTGTACACAAACACCACCAACTTCCCCCAGTGCTTTCTTCTGCCTGTTGGAAACAAACACCCCTCTCTGCGGAGGGACAAGGACAATGCTGCAGAGGGGAAAAGGTCCCTTACCTGTTTTGGAGGTGCTGCCATGTCTGAGTTGCACCCCACACTCATTCTCACATCTCACCTTCCAGACGAGCAGCTACCACAGCAGTGCGTGTGTGGCTATCCATATGTACACATCTATATGCCCTATCCGCCCTGTCCCTTAGAATTATATGCCTCAATTGTGAGAGGCAAATGAATCAAAAAACTAGAGCTGGTTGGAAAATATCTATGAAAACATTTATATAAAAAGGAAAGTGTTTCAATTACATGATTTTTTTTTGTTAATAAAGATTATTTGGAGGAAAGGAAGAATTATTTTTGAAAAGAAATATTTCCTTTTGTAATTTTAGATGGTTTCCCAAATTTATATTTTTAACCCTTCATTTTATTCTTTTGTATTACCTGACATGTAAAAGTGTCAAGTTGTATAACAAGACAAAAAGATAATCCTTTTAAATTAGTACTAAGTGGCAGCTCTAATAATCTTAAAATTAAATTAAAATAAATTCTATCAACTGCTATCTCTTACAGTTTCATGACATGGCAGTGCTAGTAGCAAATGGGATAAATACATCCTCAAGTATAATGGGAAAAAATTTTTAAACTCAAAATCCAAACAGTGAAAGAAACTGAAATTCTGAAGTTAAATTCAAATTTCTGAAATGCCTCCCCCGCCCCATGCTTATCAGGAAATACTGAAAATTAGTACATATTTTACAATCTGAAACCACAATAGATTTTTTTTTTTTAAATGAGCCTGTGACATTGCAATATCCACCCTGAGCCCCCTGCTTTGCTCAGAGGTTAACTGTATGGCAGGATCACCACCACACAAAAAAGACATTACTGAGCTTGATTGTTTGAACAGCATCAGCTTCCCTTGCCTCGTTATGCAATCTTGCAGGTTTTCCACAGCTGATTGATAGAATTGCAGCCTGCCAGAAATGCCACATCTCAGCAGGTCTCTCACAGGGCTGGTTTGCTTGCAGGCCTCTGCTAGCCTCAGGACGCTACGTTCTGACTCTTTGCCCCTTATTTTCACGTTAAAGAAAATACTTCCCTTCAAAACTAAATATGCTGCCTCAGGTCCTCTTCCATCTGTTGCATGGGAGACACTGCTGCAAAACCCCTTCTGAGCCAGTGCAGCTGCTGTGCAGCAAGAATCCCAAATTCTTCCTGCAGTACCTGCTTGCTGAACCTGCAAGTTTGCATCTTGGAGGCGTCTTGGCACATACCTGCCATCACAGTAATTTTTCACATCTCTTTACATTTCCAAGCCTGCTGCTAAGCAGCTCTCCAGCCATGTAATATATACCCAGTTTCACCATGGAAGAATGGCTGATAACAGCGTGCTTAGCACTGCAGTTCAGTCTCACAGAGAAGCAGCGTATTTAGGAGGGCCTCCCTCTTGCCCCATGTCACTGCTGCCCAGGATTTGCAGCTTTTACAAACAGACAGCACATACACACTGAAGAGGACAAGGATCACTTTGAGCTTTCCTCCCAATGATGAGCCCTGTCCTGCTGCAGGACCGTCCACATCCTACAGGACATTTGGGTGCCCATACACATCCGCCAGCCCTCTCCTCATGTTCTTGACACGGATCCAGCTTACCATGGTGCTTCCAAAGCTCCTTCCAAGGGAACTGGTTTCAGTCCTGGCCAGGAAAATTCTGCATCCCTAAGACACAATGTGCTGAGCTAACACAGGCTTCCCTGTACCCACCCACAAAACTCTGGCTTACCCATCGGCTTTTCAACCCCACAGCTCACCGCAATAATGCAACTCCATATCTGAAGCGCAAGGGAAAAACCACCAGCAGCAATAGCTGTTGGTTTTCCGCTTCTGTCAGCCAGGACCAGGTTTTTCCTTAGCCACAGGCAACTGGAGGTGTTCACCCTGCTTCTCGGTTGGCTCACAGCACACAGCAGGAGCCCCAGCTACTGAACCACCAATGCAGCTCTTCTGGCACTGTCTGCTCTCCTCAGGTTCTTCTCACAGGTGAAGCCTCTCCTTTTTCCAGCTGTCTCAGTCATTTGTTCAATATTTTACAGCGCATACTCTTGCTCTAGACTCAGTCTCACTGCTTGTAAATAATGAACATAAGATGTCATTCAGTAATTGTACACTGGGTTGTTTTTACCACAACCAAGATGAAATCTGAGAAAGAAGACCCTCCTTGAAATTGAAAGGGGCCATGCCCTCTAATCATGAGTGCAATAGGAGCTGATTGTATTATTAAATTTATAAGCAATGACTTCAGGAAACACAATGTGTTTACTCAAATTGCACACTTTTTTTGAACAGCTGTAAAATAGAGTATATGTGTAAATATTGGCATCACTGAAGAAGTATTTGTAATTTTAGCATATAACAGACTTTTCAGTGGGCTTGATGATGCCATGAGGCTGCACATCAAGTCCTTGGGTATTTCTAAAGTTGTAAATGTATTTGCTGTACAGAGGAAGTGTGTCAGTGTTTGCTTCTCCCAAGGAAATGGAGATGCCGGTCCCTTTTAGAGAGCCAGCAGCTTTCCCCACAACAGCTGGCACCAGCCTGAGGGGCCAGCAGCTTGCTGCTTCATGAAGCAGCTTCCTTTGTGTCCAGAAACACCACTGCAGCATGCAGAGCAATGCCTCTCCGGCTGCTCAGGTAGCATGGAGGGGTGACAGCTTCGCAGTGCAACCACCAGTGCCGTGCATTGTCAAACTGCAGCTCAGTGGACACAGACAAGAGGATACCCACAGTCCTCCTGCAGACAGTACCTCCAGGAAGGGAAAAGGGCAGGAAGCACAGGGCAGAGTGGTGCACCTTGGTGCTTCAAGAGACACTTGACATGAGAAATTTCCTAGCTACAGATCAAAGCAATAGTCACATTGATGTTATCTCTTAACATAGTGGACCTCATCTCTACCACCCTTGCACATCATTGGAGTGGTCAAAGCACTGCTCCAAGGCAAGCCTCCAGTGGACTGCTCTGTATGTGATGAAACACAAAGCCATTGTTTGCAGATGCCTCTGATGGTCAGTAACCTAAGGACCCAAAGGATCATCCTAGGCTGCCCAGCATGCAGTGCAGGCTCCTGCCTTGTAGAAGCAGCACTCCAGGCTGCATGGAATGTATTTTTAAGAAAATAAATCTATTTTTTTGTATTTGCAGACATATATTTGGGCTGGGGCAGCTTAGAAGACAATGCAAGAAATCTTTTCATAATCACGGACTCATGCAAGTTAAGCAAATTTTCCAGGGTTACAGTATTGCCTATTACCCCAAACCAAATTTTGTGTCCAATAGCGCTATCAGCACTGTTTCACCCTCTCAAAACTGTCCCTGTCTCAGCAAGCTCAGCAGAGGGAAGGCAGCCCTTTCCTCCCCAGGCTGCCCATGCAGTGGATACAGATGGTGCTCACCTCCTTCCAGTTACACAGTGCTCTTAGTCTGCATGCCAAATGTAAACACACACTTTATCTGCATGTCTCTCCCAACTTGAACACTGTGTCAGCTCTACAGTATATAACCAATAAAATCTCTTCTCTTTTTCATGTTTGTGATGTGGTATTTATAGATCTGGCTGAATCCCTGCACAGTGTCTGTTACTCAGAGGTACTGATGCCCCTTGGTGAACTGCTGAGGCAGCTCCAGTCTGCAGCACTCTGTGTTAGTGCTAAGTCTGACTACTAGTTTGTTAG